TTTCCACATCACTGTCAATGTATAGAATCTGAAATATGAAAATGAGAAGAGGGTTCTTTTGAGTAACATGTCACTCACATCTTCTATTCCTCTCTTGCCCTTCTCCATTATGCTCGCATGTGCATGTCGTAAGACAGTCCAATATAAACTTTCTTCTTCCGTGAACTCAAACCTGTGAATGAGTATGTGAAACGACGTCTTTCATTGTTATCCACCTAGAAGGATCTTTTTTAATGCCTTCGGACTGTTCAGCCGGTCTAAATGATGATATCATGTGTACAGTACTACAAGGTGATGCCAGCATCATATCAAAATTCAACGATGGTTCACTAAATTATTTCAAATAATGAAATTTATAAAAAGTGAAAGCATTACATTTCCATATCCGTATCTACTGTAAACGTATAGTTGAATTTGGCTTTACTAAACAGTAAATCCCAAGTATCAGCTAATACCAAAACTGTTATGATAGAAAAGCATATTACAGATACTATAAACATATTATATGAGAATAACAAGGATATAATTGTAATTTAAACTTATTCCAGAAGATGTCCTTTTCTCTTCTTTGGTTTCTTCATGTACTTTATCAAATACATCAAATTTTTCTAATGTTTCAGTCAAGTTTGGGCCACGTCGTTGTCGCAAAACATTGTCTGAGCTCTGCATGACTCATTTACAGTCAAAATACCCAAATAAACTGAAATAATAGTATATAATACCTTGTGAACACATATAAAGCATAGTTAATCCAAAGAAATGTTGACAAATAGTGTATTGAATTGAAAAAAACGCCAACCCGACACAAAAATGTCGATGTCGACTGAGCGTTCTTTTTGCGTCGATAAAAGTTAGAGATAGTGCAAATGAAGAGAGTACATAACCTTTAAACATAGAGTCAGTGAGAAGAATGGAGGTCATAGAATGATATAGCAACTAGAGATATAGTATATCAATTGGATATTCAACAGATAATAAGATAATTATAATAATTCATTTATTATTTAAGAATTTTTGATTTTCTTCTTCCATATTTGTCCTTTTCAAATATTTATATATGAATTGAACTGCTTATGTCATGATTCACATTCATTATTCAAAATAAAATTGAAAATCAACAATGTAAAATTGAATTTACGAAAAATGACAGTTCATTCATATTGAATTTTCATTGGATTCATCTTGATGCATACATGTTCATGGATTATAGAACAATGCTGAACAGGGGATCAAAGATTGTCTGTTTTCTGATTCTTTCAAAGAAAAAAAATAAGATTTCTAAGCTTAGATGATATAGTAATCTAACATACTTCTTTCGCTCTATACGGACATCTCATCCATCAAAGAAAGTGTATAAGAATCGTCTTATATAAGATAAGTAACAATCGCCAGATGATATGATGTAAAAACAAGCTCATCACTGCTCAATATCATCTCATTCTTCATCTATGCTTTGTCTAAATATGGATAACAATAATACACATATCATCAACATGATGAGATAAGATGATGTCCTTATCATCTAGTGAAGCCATATATAGCCATCAATCACATCTACAACATCCTGATATCATAATTACAAAACATTTTATTATTACAATATTCGTAAGACAATATTATTTTATTATTAAAAATATGAAATGAAAAGGAGAAAAAAAAAGGAAAAAGAGATAGGTGATGATTTGCTTTTGTTCATCAAACATTGATTGTTGTAATGCAGCAATCAGCCGTTTCACTCATTGCTCATAAGATAAGCTATGCCAAAATATAAATTAATTTTTTAATTTCATCTCATTCTCTCATAAAGCATTTTTGTATTTTTAATTTTTGAAAAGATTTATACAAAGCAAAAAAGCATATGGAGTATTTGTTTTTGTTTTTTAGAAGAAGGAGCACAACACATCTAAAAGTAGAGATACATGTTGATTTGACTGGTTAACTATCAATTGGATAAGCAGGGTTAATGTAGTCAAACTGTTCGAATAGTGACTGCTCAATATTCATCAAATACAGTCTATCAATTGGAGTTAAGCGAACAGATTCACTAGTAAACTCCTTATCAAAGTTGGACAGGTCCTCTTTTCCTTTCTATAAACAAATAATATGTACGTAAAGCGGATTATGTTTGTTGTTTACCAATTTTGGTTTGAACGGTGGTTGAACTTCCCGCTTTTCTAGTTTTACCCAATCTATTCGACGGAAAAATGGATGTTCCTACAAAAAAATGGTTTGCATGCTGTTTACAAGAGTATTTTTCCACCTTAATTTCACTGATGGCTAAATCCACATCCGTTGAACAACCTAATCGTTTTGTTGGATTCTTAACCAGCAGTCCTTTACAAAGAGAAACAGCTTCTTTGGACATTCCTTTCGGATAAGATACATTATGTTCCGTGATAGCTGTAGTTGAATGTTCAATAGATGTTTCCAGTACCCTGATGAATACCTGTGAAGAGCTCATCTTCATCTTCACCATCAAATGGTGGTTGTCCAGCCAACATTTCGAACACTAACACACCAAAAGCCCACCAATCAACAGACTTTCCATAAGGTTGATATAAAATAATCTGAAAACCCTAGTTTAGATGATCAGTTTGTATCTCTAGACGACTTCTGGAGCTATATAATCTGGAGTTCCACAGAATGTTTTGGTTGTTGCATCCTTATAGATACCTTCCTTACACATTCCGAAATCTGTGATCTGAACAAAACCAACATTACAGTATCCAATAATTAAAAAATTTACTTTAATGTGTCCATTGGCTTCAAGCATGACATTGTCCAGCTTAAGATCACGATATATTATTCCTTTGGAATGCAGATAGAATAAGCCACAAGCAATTTCAGCAGCATAGAAGCTGCAATGCTCAGATATTCTTTGTAAAATGATATGTTGTTTACCAAGCCACAGGCTCTTTGAATTTTCCTGCTTGTTGTATTTGATACATGAGATCACCACCATTTACAAACTCCATAACGAAATAGAGACGATCCTTGAGTTATAGTATGAGTTATGTGTAGCATTGCTCATATGTCCTTACCATGGATTGAAAAGCACTGTGAATAGACACCAAAAATGGTGATTTATCAGGAAGTGCTAAAACACGTCTTTCTACAAGTGTACACTCAATGTCGTCATCTTGAATGACAACATCTTTTTTAAGAACTTTCACAGCGAACAAAGTTCCGGTGGTCTTATGTTCGCCGAGCAGAACCTGAACAACAGAGTTACACTCAATTTTTTTTTCGAAAATGTACTTTTCCGAAAGATCCTTTTCCAAGAACGGCACGGAACTCAAAATCGGCCAATTTGATTGCTCCAAGATGTGGCTGAGCAATGGATGACGAACTTGAGCTAGTTTTCGAATAAGAACTCGTGGATAAAGAAGTTTCTTTATCAGTCTGAGATGTTATGTTCAGAAATCTATTACGATTCTGATGGAACTTACCAAATGAATATCTTCCATCTGTTGTTTCAGTTTAGCCACTTCACCATCGTACTCAGGTGGAATTCGGATGTTGTAGTATTCACCTTCTTCCTGAACAACTCTACTCATCATAGTATAGCATGATCAAGATGTACCGCATTCAAGAGTTTGAACCAACCATCGACAGGTTCTTTCTGTAACTCGGAAATACCAAAGGAGAGAGAACCCATGAAGTCATTACGAGACGTTCTGTCCCAATCCCAAACTTCAACTGATAATCGTCTATCGCAATCACTTGATTGCAATTTACTAGAATATGGTTATTTCAAAATATCTCAAAGATGTCTCCTTACTATGAGAATTTCTCTCCCCAAAATGGATTGAGAGTAGCCTTCAATGTCTTGGTTTTCTTTTTTGATTTACATCCCGACTCTTCAGGTATTAGCTTAAGTTTAACATATGGATCTGAAAGACCATTAGGGTCCATCGGAATTAAGTTTTTGGCTTCCCGCACTGAATATGTTAATATATTGTAAGTATTCTCTTGTTCTCTTACCATCAATGGTTAGAGTATCATTTTCAATCTTGGCTTTGAGGTAAATTCGCCCACGTTTTTCAGTATTATCCACGCCACACATATTAGGAACATATTTGATACATCTGTGATGCACATTGCTATCGCACGAAGTACATTTGACGCCCTTGAGCAAAAAACAAAAATAGTTTGAAATCGATTAAAATTATTATTTTTGTAATTACTTTTCAATCTCAAAATGTTTAAATCAAGATATTGATTCATGGCTGTTGATTGATTCAAACGATAAATGATATCTTATCCTTGATTCATTTACAAAATCTTACCTGATGAATAAGGCCATACAACATAGTTCCACAATGATCGCAGAAAGTAGGAGAAGCAAATGAAGACTCTTTCCATTTGTGAACTTGACGTGGGTCCTGCAAAGTTAAATTAACTTATTCTTCTCAGTCAGCTGGCAATAGTCTCCTGTTTACGGATGCAAACAGCATGCTGAAACTTTTTTTTTCCTTCATACCAAACACTCACATCACTATCAGCTCCTTTATCAGCTCCAGGACAAGCGAAGTTTACAAACTCATGACAACGTTTGTGAACAACAAGCACACAAACTTAACATGTATAGATCAATACTTGCATTATTGATAATAAAAAGAACCTTGACATTGAAATCCTTGTTTGTTTAAGCCCCATGAAAAATCTTTACAGTGCGAACAGAAGGTTGGTTGCTTAAAGAAGCGGGCAATAAACTTATGACTTCTGAAAGAAGAAAGAAAAGAGAGATAGAATCATCATTCGTTCATGGATGAGTAGTCGCAATCCTATAATAGAAGCAGAATAATTAACTATATCAATTATATATAATATAATATGAAAATAATATTAAAAAAAACATGAATGAACATAAATTGAAATAGACATACCGTCTCCATCATGAGTGTTTATGGACAGTCGACTGAATGTTAATATGTGAATAGTT